TCTTCACCTACTACACCGTCACCAGGAGTCCTTGGAAGTCACAAGGGTAGGAAGACAGAGATCTCCATTTTTGGGTTCCTCCTTATTCAGACACCAAATTGTATACCCTCTTAATGCCAGTACTGAGTCTGCCGTCTCTGCTTTCTAATACTGTTGAGAGCCACAGATTCAAGGAGGGGTAACACTTGGCCAATTTAAATACTTCATAGAATGGAAAACCCAAAATCTTTTTCTAGTCTTGCTTGCAAGGGAGCATGGATAGGAATAAAAGGGTTCTGGAACACAGGGTGCTGAAGAAAAGGGGTAGAGCCTTTTCAACACCCTGTTCATCTTTCCCCCTTCTTATTGCTGGGAACTCTTCCAAAGCTAGCTCCATTTCAGAAGGAGCAGGAGAGAAGGGGGGAGAGAGAGGGAAAGAGAAGATGAGAGAGGGAGAAGAGAGGGAAGGAAAGGGAAAGAGAAAAAGAAAGGGAAAGGGAAGGGAGGGAAATGAAAGGAAGGGAAGCGAAAGGAAGGAAAAGAGAGGAAAGGAGAGGAGAGGGAAGGTAAGGAGAGAGAGGAGGGGAGGGGAGAGAGAAGAAGGAGGAAAGAAGGAAGGAAGGAAGAGAGGGAGAAAGGGAGGGAGGGAAGAAAAGAAAGAAAAAGAAAGAAAGAAGGAAATCATGAACTTTCTCCTCTCCTCTGCTCCTTCCACCTCTCTCCCTCCCCACCTTTTCCACCCACATCCTCACCTCTCCCAGCTCCTAGCAAAATCAAACTCATCCCTCTCCCCCTCACCATAACCTAATCTTCTCCATAGCCCAGGGCCTTGTGCTACGGCTTCCAGACTGCAGGACTGCCTGGGATGAGTCAGTCCAACCAAGGGCACAGCCAAAGTAGAAACCCCATTGAAGGACTGCAGATCACCCCTCCAGTGCTGGGCCTTCTACGGCCTGGGAAGGCATCGATTTCACAGCTTTGGTTTAATCCGGAGCAGCAAATTCTGTGGAGAGCACCAGAGAGTAAAATTAGCTGGGAACTGGATGGCTGCCTCTCCAGTGGACAAAACTCAAGGGGCAATTGCCTCACTTCACCCTGATTTAAAAATAGGCAAATTCAAGTGGAAAGTGGCTTGCAGCTGACAGAACTGGCAACGCCACCGAGAAGCTGTCCCCAAAGGTAGCTAGAAGACCATGAGAGCCACAGCATGTGACATCCCGAGGGAGAATGGTGAGATTCTTCTCACTAGAACCACTATCAAAACATGCCTCACTCATTTACCTGAGTTCTCCCCTAACCTTATTGTAAGGTCTTGAGGTCATAGGCACGGCCCAAACCCAAAGGCTGGAGCAAAAGAAACCCCCAAGCCCTTTGACTGGCAGCTAAAGTAAGACAGTGTCCCGACTATCCCCAAGGCAGGTGAGCCAGGAGGAAGCATTATGACAAAGGGATCAGGAAGGCTTTACAGAAAGGACCTTCCTTGCACCTCTCTTCACCATCCAGCACATTTGCCAGCCAAGACAACACATGAGGCTTGGATTGTCCGCAGGTGAATTCGCCTGAGGGAGCAAGGTGGGCTGGTGAGGATTTATAGGCAACTAGCCAGGATAGTTAAGTTTAGGAGAGGCCAGTAGAGAATAATCTCCTTCAGGGCAAGACCTGTGTTCACCTTTGTCTCCGTATTTCTGGCACCCAGTATAACTGGCACATTGTCAGTGCTTCCGTAAATGCTTGTTAGATTAAATAGAATTCAAGGGGTAGACAAAATTGTCTTCTTTAGAATTCTGGATCCTGCCTACACTAATCCATTCTTTGGATTCTCCTGCCAATTGGTCCTTGCCAATCTCTTTTCAACAGCCTAATTCTGCCCCCGGCCCTGGAGAGAGGCTTTCCTTGCCCTGCTAATGCCAATGAAAAAGGGACACCCGTTCCATAATAGGGAGCTGGAAGAAGCTTCCGTCCTTTGGGCTATGGTTTGGTTTTGTTCTTGTTTTTAGCTTGCCCAGGGCGGCAGCAAACTTTAGGACAACCCCATAGGCCAAAGGAAAAAGGTGACTAGGGAATATCAGTGCCGTCCATCTTGCTCTGGCTTTCATTCCATCCTCTGTGCAGATTTCAGCACCATGCCTAGAAGGCAGACAATAGCAGAAGCCCCAGCAGCGCTGTAAGAAAAGGAAGAGCTTACGTGGAAGAAACCGTTCCTCATGTCGAGGGACAGGTGAGGCAAGTGATGGATGGCAGGCGTGAGGAGGAGAAAGGAGGGAAGGGAAGAGGAAAAGGAGAGTGGCAGGGGACAGAGACAAGGGGACAGGAGTGAGGTATGTTTGGATATTGCTTTTGATGCTGTAAACATTTCTCTTTGTTTCATTACAGACAATAATAATAATAAAAATGATCTGGGTTTGGCTTAACCTAAGTGCCCAGAGAGGGCGGCAGGAAGGACAACTCTGAACTGGGGAGAATTAGGATATAAAGGGTCTGCCCTATGGAGATAGGGCCTCACCCCTGTAATCTGATGCTCTCAGCTGTCACACACACAATACCCAGCACTCTAAATATACCTATTGTACATGAAGGGACACACCCACCCACATCCACCCTCCCTTAGCTGCAAGCCTCAAAATCCTAAGGCTTGGGGCTTCACACCTCCCTCATGCGGGGGAGGAAGTGGCCGACCTGCCAAGGCACCACCCCCACCTGCAGTCCTTGTCCCCATAGTTGGAAGAAGCTCTAACGACTGAATTGAACACACAGCCCAGTTTTTTTTTTAGATTCCTCCCTCCCTCCCCACCTCTCCACACCAGGTAAGTGGTAACACGGCCCTTTAAATTTTGCTTGGACTCTTCAGAAAAATGTGTTGTTTCCATTCAGCTGTGCCTGAAATTTGGCAGGAAAGCTGGCCATGGATGCAAATGTCCTATGTAAACAGCGATTTAAAGTATTTACCCTGTGTTAGAGAGAGCAACCTCATCAAATTCATTCTGGCAGCTTCAGCTGAAATTGGTTTCCTGTTGGCTCAGGAAGGAGGGAGGATTGGAATGGGGTGGGGAGGAAGGGGAGGAACTACCTGATCTACTTGGAAACATCCATTTCCAGGCTCCAGAGCTCTTGGGAATGGAACTCCTGGTGTCTCCCCAGTTACAGACCCAAAGAGACGGGGAGAACCTGCCCCCCAAACTCCATGATGCTGTTGCATATAGACACACTGATAACAACACACACACACACACAGAAACACACCCTTGGCAGTGCAAGGACCCTTGACAACAACAAGAAATAAGAATAAGAATAACCAGAGACTGCCCCCACCAGGGGCGGGGGGGGTGACAGGACCGAATGAAATGTGGACACTATTTGAAAACACACTTAAATAGTGAAGGTGCCATTACCACCACCCACCTACCCCCAAGAGGAGGAGGTAGTGCTTGTGTTGGGTTCCTGAGCATCACCAGCCCTCAGAGCTCAGGTGCCAAACTCAATTCCTCCATGAAATAGTCTTTTGTGGAGCAATCCCAATGACATCCCTCAAATGCCTAGGGCCTTGGAGGCTGGGGGATACCACAAAGAACCAAATCCCTAGAATTTCAGAGCTGGAGGGGGCTTTAGAGAGGCTCTAACCCCTTCCACCCACCCCCTTGCTCATTTTACATATAAGGAAACCAATATCCGGAGGAAGTGACGTTACTTGTCCAAAGTCATACAGCAAATTTGTGGCAGAAAAGAGACTAGAACCCAGGCTTCTAAACTCTAGGACAGGACTCATTCCACTGCACTACGAAGTCACCTTTCCAACAGCTCCTTACCCTAACCTAGCAGGACAATCTACACTGGGATCCAAGCAACTGACGGGTACCCTCCTCCTATCTCAGCTAAGTGCTCTCTCATTGAGGGTCACAAATTTGTGCCCAAGTCAGTTTGATTCTAGATAGCTGAGCCTAGATGCCGGTTCCTCAAGCATCGTCCCAGAAAGAACTTCCCGGCACACTTCCAAGAGCAATCTTTAGTGGGTAAAGCTCTCTGACACACAGTTCCATTTGATTCCCAATCCAGTGATTGCTCATTTTCTTAACCACCCTAGGTTCCATCTTCAATACCAGGATCATCACCAAAAAGTGAAGCAACTGGATCTTTAGGGTAGCAGTTGCTTTCATGAGATCGTTTGAGGGAAATATGATCTCCCCAGACTACATAGACAAGAGAGGTTCTGACTTTGGTGCCTAATTTTCCCATTATAATTATATGTCTTCCCTTTGGGGGCTGGCACCAAGGACAAGGGGACCTACAGTAGGCGCGCTGAGAGCTTGCTGTGTTGTGTGAATTCATTTTCTTCTTACCCCTCTGAACTATCCTGGGAGGCCAGTACAGTGATGTCTGATGTCACAGGGGAATGGGGCAGACAGGTTAGAAACTTGTCCAGTGCATGAAAGCCTATTGTTACTTCTGTCCATCATTCCACCTCCAGAAAATGGTTGAACAAACATGAAGACTGGGCTTCTACATTCTATCTTCCTCCCTATCCTCCCTGGCAATAGTCTAATGCACCATTCACTACAGATGACCACCCCCTTCTACCAGGGGATCACACTTGTAAAATACACTCAAAGAGAAAACCCTCTGCTTCCCTAGGAACAGAAAATTGCTGTGACAATGGCCATGTACTCTATCTCCTGTTAGGTGCTTTCACGGGAATGCTATACAGGGAATCAATCAGCCTCCTAATTTAGGATGGGCGGTGATTACAGCTTGTCCCAATGGCCCCAGTTCCCCACCCCGCCCCTATTCTTTTCCCACTGAATGGTGGCCAATGGAAATGAAAGAAATAGCTGACTCCACTAATTCAATCCCATCTGAAATCAAATGATATAGATACATATATGTATATATAAAATGAGATATTATCAAATGAGATAGTAATGTAAAGCGCTTAGCACAGTGCCTGGCACATAGTAGGCGCTTAATAAATGTTTATTCCCTTCCATCTCCACTAACTAGCAGACTTGCTTAACCTGGGACTCCTGGGAACCTCCTTTCCAGTGCAATGAGGCCCAAACACCCAGGACTAGCAATAGTTTCTAAACCACAAATCACATCAGAGAGACCCATGGTCATTCTTCCCCTCTTTCCTCTCAAGGATATGGGATTAACAAGAAATCAGATAATAAAATGTGGTGGTGGGGAAAGGGAGAGGGGGCTGAATTGCTTTTGCATTATTTACATATTAGCCTAGCATAGCAAACCTGCCTTCTTAGCAGAAATGACCCAAGGCAATATGAATGGCCATTTGCTGACCCAGAGAAGGGTAACAGCTGTGAGGCGCTACCACTAACCAACACACAAACACAACCAGGCAAATGGAATTAAAGTCCTCAATCCGACGGCTGGATCACACATTTTAAGTAGCCCCATTTCCTTTCTTCCTCACACCCCCAGCCTCCCAACCCAAACTCCACTGCGGTTAAACACTGATGATGGTTCACATTGGAATATGGTCTTGGCAGCTGGGGGAAGGGGAAAGCCTGTGATTTCCATGGGTCCTCATTTCAGCTCTAACTGAGCCTCCTCTGGTTTTGAGTCAGAAGATCTAAGTACATTTTGGACCTCAGAAACCGGGGGTAAGAGTCTTTCTCCATGAGGCTGTGCACTTTCCCCTGGGCTTGGTCAAAGCATGTCAAAGAAGGTTCTTGCATGTTCTTCCTTGTTTCTTCCCGAGTTTGGAAATCTATGTTCACCTAGAGACACAAAGAAAGAATAAGGTTACAAGGAAGCTAGACACCTGGTGGTTGGGGACTTGCCTGGAATATGTTGGTGTTTTGTACCAATATTAATTACAATAAACAAGTCATATTTGCATAACCCCTTATTTTGTTTTGTTTAGGTGTGAGCATGTGGGAGATGGGGGGAAGGAGTAAGGGAGGAGGGGTCAGGTTAGAAGAAAGAAATCCAGATCTGTGTAGAAACTCTCCATGTGGAATTGCCTGGGATACTGATATTTGCCCATAGCTAGTATGTGTCAGAGGCAGGATTGAACCCAGGTCTTCCTGGGTTCAAACTCCCCACCACTGTGCCATACTGTACCTCTGTGAAGCTTTCTGCTTGTCAAAACACTTTCACTGAGGTGATTGGGTTCCATCTTTATCCCCTGAGGTAAAAAGGGAAGTTATCCCCACTTGACAGTTAAAGAAAGGGAAGAACAAAGAAATGGAGTGATTTGTTCAGACATGAGTAATTATCAACTGAGGAGGAATTGAATTAGGTTATTTCTAAGGTCCCTTCAGGTCTAATATGCTATGCAACATTACTGGTGGGACCGGGGTTAGAACTCAAAGCACTTGACTCCTCCCTAGAGCTCTTTCCAAAATAAATTCAATTCAATGGCAAGTTCTTACTTCTGAGACCTTCAGCAGACATTTCTGAAACAGGCCCCTTATCCTTGCTTAACTGGAAAATAAGCACATCTGATGAATATCCCATTTTCCCCCCCACAGGTCCCCCCTTCCATGCTTGCTGGGCTGCCATTTTTTACCTACATTTAAACACCACAAGGATGTTAAAACATCCCTTCCAAAATGAGAATTATACAATCAGATAGGGAGAGGAACTAAACCAGTGATTTAATTGTAAAGGAGAGTTCCTTGTAAGGAAATTCCTTCTACCAATGCGAATGGTCATATAACCCACAACTTACTTTTGTTGTTCAGTTGTATCCAACTCTTTGTGACCCTATTTGGGGTTTTCTTGGCAAAGATACTGGAGTGGTTTGCCATTTCCTTCTCCAGCTCATTTTACAGTTGAAGAAACTGAGGCAAACAGGGTTAAATAACTTGCTCAGGGTCACACAATTAGTAAGCAGCTGAAGCTGGATTTGAATTCGTGTCTTCTTGACTCCAGGTCTGGTGCTCTATCCACTGTGCCACCTATCTAGCTGCCCTTACAACTTACAGTCTTAGAGAATTTCCTAGAACAACTTCCCCAGGATCACCCAACTAGTATGTATCAGTGGTAGGACGTAAACACACATCTTCCTGGCCCTGAGGCCAGTTTTCTATCCACTATGCCACGCCGCCTCTCCTATAAGCATAATGGAATATTTTTGCACAATAATCAATGACAGATATGAAGAATTCAGAGAAACATGGGAAGATCTGATGCAGAGAAGAAAGGGGGAACACTATACCCATTGACCACAAGTCAACAAAACTCTAGTCAAATACAAGGGACCACCCTGGAACCAAACTATCAGAATTTAAGCACAAAGTTTTCCTTTATATTATCAAATGGTAATCATCCTATTCTATTACATGGTTTTGCTTAACTTTATTTTACAGCAAGGTATTGTGAGGGAAGGGAGCTTGTTGGGAAGTGACCAATGTGCCCAAATAAAATCTATCCTTCTATCTATCTATCTATCTTTCTATCTATTTTTTTAAATTGGTAACAAGACACCTTAAGCAGATTATAGTCAAAGTTCTCTAGGGCTGTGACTCAGCCACATATCACAAATGATGTAATATTTGTAAAGCCCTTAGCATAGTGCCTATCACATAGTAGGTTCTTAAATGCTTGTTCCCTTCCTTTCCTCCCACATCCGATGATTAAATTCTCCCAGGTTTCCCTCCGTTCTCCATAAGAAATCCCATCTGAAACTTAAAACAGTCCCTTTAGGCTTGTCGGCTACCAAGAGTCCTGCGCCAATATGGTTCTTTCCAGACACGACCACCTAACAGGTCATTTAACATATCCCTACTCCAGTCTACTAGACCCATCATCTCCACTTCCTCCTGATGAGAAAGTTGGCCCCCACCCTCTGGAACCACCTTGGGGTTTGACTGACCAATTTTGGCCTTCTCTTGCTCAGTTCTAGACCTCTACTGCAGTTTTCAGACATCTTCAGCTACACCCACCTACCATTCCCCTTTTCCAGCTTTCTTTTATGTCTACCTCCATTAGAATGTAAGTTCCTTGAGGGCAGGACCATCTTGCTTGCAAGTATTTATATGCCCAGTACTTAGCACAGTGTCTGCAGTAAGGGCTTAATAAATTAACTAACTATCTATCTATCTATCTATCTATCTATCTATCTATCTATCTACTATCTCTTGCTCCTCTTCTTGAATTTCTAAGCCTTTGCCACCATAGGTACCACCCTGGTGATTAGCAGCAGTTATAAACAGACGAAGCTGATGAGGCTCAATTCACTACAAATGGACTCCTTGGAATAAGACTCCAAGAGAGAAAAATGGTGGTCTATTCCACCACAAAGAGCCAAGATGAGTGAAGACTTCCTAGGCAGCGAGGTGCTCACTACCAACATACCTCTCGAGGGGCCTGAACATCTACGAACTCTTCAAAGATCCTGTGAGCCTTGGAAACCAGCTTGGTGGTCGACCGAGTCTTCTTGAACTCCTCACAGGCTAGCCAGAATTCCAAGTTCTCCTCACTGAACTCAGTCTTCAGGAAAGCACGGAATGCTGCCACTCCATCTGTCATGAGAGAGGGGGAAAAAAAGAAGTTAGATTAAAATGCTCCAGAGGAAGGAAGAGGAATGGCACCTAAAGGCAGACATAGTTCTAGATGCCCAATCTCTTCTCCCTTTTTTTTTTTTTGGTTTTGTTTGTTTTTGGTTGGGCAGTGGGGGTTAAGTGACTTGCCCAGGGTCACACAGCTAGTAAGTGTTATGTGTCTGAGGCCGGATTTGAACTCAGGTCCTTCTGAATCCAGGGCTGGTGCTCTATCCACTGAGCCACCTAACTGCACCCCCCCCCCAATCTCTTCTTTACCCTCTAAAACAGGGGTTCTCAATCTGGGAGATCATGAACTTGGGATATTTTTATATTTTGAAAGCTATATTTAAATATGATTGGTTTTCTTTGTAATCCTATGTATTTTATTTTATGCATTTTAAAAGAATTATTCTGAGAAGTCCATTGGTTTCACCAGACTGCCAAAGGAGTCTGTAACACACACACACGCGCACACACACACACACACACACACACACACATTAAGAATCTCTGTTCTAAAGGTTTCCATAGACCTAGAACCCAGAAATGCACTTATAACGTATGTGTATTACATATGTATATACACAATGTATATGCATATGTTCAGAAATATTTGTGCATCATATCTCTAACCCCCAAATCAGTGAATGACCCAAGGGAGTAATTAATTACCATAGCAGTTATAGCTCTAAGGATATCTGGGTTTACTCCAGTCAATAATAGCTCCTGGCTATCTATCCCCTAACAACCTTTGCCCTTTATCTGTTTGGTTCAGCTGGTGAAAACCTGATGTTTGGAAGGGCAAGGTCATAGGGTCATTCCCAATATGGCCATTTAGCCCATCTCTGTTCCAAGGCCACCTACTGGATGTCTATCCTTTAACAGCCATCCTACAAAAGTATATGGTTAGCTCTTTTGGGACCCAGGAGAGAGTGTAGATGATATAATGTGAACTCCTCACTATTATGGGTAAAAAACAAAAAACAAAAAACATTCTCACTAAAAGTAGATATGTAATATCTTCCTCCATTAATGACAGTGAGAGTGTGCAGGATACTTCACTAACAAGATTATGTATGGTAGGCAAAAAAAAGTCTCCTTGTCACCCCATACTTTACTCCCATTTCTACTTTTCTTTTGGAGTCTTTCCCTTATTTGCCACCTCTCTGAAATACTGTAATGTTATTGGGGGCATATGCTGCATCAAACAGCAACATAATGAACAGACCATCATTTACTATTCATGATTCCTGAGTAAAGGAATGGCACAGTATAGAGGTCAGCCTTGGAATCACGAAGACTTAGATCCACGTCCTGTCTCAGGCACAAACGATAGACACTCTGGAGGAGAAAGTGAGGCTGGTGACCTTGCACGGCCCTCCCTCACTTAAATCCAATTCACTTGCACGTCATGGTATCACTTCCATGATGTCATGGTCCTCTTTGAGAACAAAGGACAAACAACAATAGCAACGACACTTAACCTCTTAGTGTTCAAGACCATGGGTTACCATCAAGTGAAGGGAACCTCCATACACTGGTGAAATTTCAGATCTAGGCCACCCACCCCAAACAAACCCACTGATCCCTGATATTTTACCCGGTCTACCAGGATAATATTAAAATTAAACATTAAATTTAAATTTAAAAAATTAAAAGTTCTTTGTGAGTAGAGATTGTTTCATGTATTGTATTTGTATCCCTGTTGCCTGTTACATAGGAGATACAATAAATGCTTGGTAAGTACCACCCATAGAACCATGGAAAGGAGAGGAGAAGGTCCACTCTGTATTTTTAAAAATATTTGAACACATTCCCATATACACATTTGAACACATTCCCATATATATTCCATTTTGTGGAACTACATGGCACCATAGAGGCAATCTTATCCAACTCCCTCATTTTACAAATGTGGAAACTGAGGCCCAGAGAGACTAGGAGGCCTATCCAAGATCACAGAAATAGTAGGGCCAGAATTCACAGCCATGTCCTGACATCCCAAATCCAATGGTCTTTTCACTTTTCCCATAATCCCTAAGGATAAGCATGAAAGCAATATGATTAAGTAGAATAATGATAGTAACCTACATTTATATAGAACTTGACAGATTACAAAGAGCTCTCACTGGAAGCTTAGGCAGAATTGTGCATACCTATAACCAGTTCTAAATGGCAACTCGCCCCAGCCACCATACCATTCTAAGGGTATAGATGCTCAGAATCTATTCAGTCAGAGATTCACAGGCATTGGAAGGGTGGTGCTGTGGAAGCCGGCACAGGGCTGTGGTGCCTGAATGTAGATGGGCCAGGAAGGTCGGAAGTAAATTATATGGTTTCTACCAGTCACCTCATTTCCCCCTATTCCTGTCTCTTACACAACTATTCTTATAATCACAACGTTTTACCGCTGACAGAGACCTCAGAGCTCACCCAGTCCAACCACACCCACTTATTAAAGGTGATACAGTCTGCGTGGTCCCAGAACTGGGATGAGAACCCTGGTCTCCTGATGCACAGATCCATCATACAAAGCATTCTTGTCTTGATCCCCAGCCTCTCCCATAGCTAATCAGTCCCCAAGTCCTATGGATTCTTCCTTTTCAGTCTTCTCAAAATCATCCCTTCCTCTCCATTTCTAAGGTAAAAGGCTCACCCCACAACTGTTCTCCCCTCCCCTCCCTTCCCTTCCTTTCTCCCTTTGACTATGCGCAGTATGTCCCTAGGGGACCATGCAGAAACTTAAACATAGGCGGATATTCTCTCCCCCTTCATAGTCGCTTCTGGCTATGAATGACTCGTTACTAAATTGAATCCCTCCCCACCCCCACCCCTCTATTTGGTTGCTGAATCAATTGAAAAGCTGGTCACGCTACCATATCAGGTAGAAAGGTGGCTTCTGGCTGATAGCCTTTGTGGCTTCCATACTCCAGGCAGCAAGATTTGATTTCAGCCAACAGTGAAGAAGGCGCAGTGGATAGATTGTGTGCCTGGAGTCAGAAGACCTGTATTTTAATCCTGCCTCAGACCCTTACTAGCCATGCAACCCTGCACAACCTGTCTGCCTCAGTTTCCTCAAATGTAAAATGGGGATTATAAAAACAGCTACCTTTCATGGCTGCTGTTAGGATTAAAGGAGATGATGTTTGTAAAGTGCTTAGCACAGTGCCCAGCACATAGTGAGTGCTATATAAATATTAGCTATCATTATTCTTATTATTTTGGATTCCCCTATGTCTACCTCTCTGCCATCTAATCTATCCTGCATATCACTAATCTTCCTTAAATGTCATTTGAATTGAACCCCAATCAAAAACCTCCAATGACTCCATGTTCTATCATCTCCAAACTCTTTAAGACCCTCCATCAAGGGACCCCATTTTATCTCTGATAGCTGCCCAGTAGGCAGCCTCCGTTCTCATCGTGCTCAGCACACATGGCATATTCAATCATGTTTTTGCATCTTTGCTGGTTCTGTTTTCCTCCTTCCCTAACCTCCTTAGACCTTCTCTACTATCCAGATCCCACTCATTTTCCAAAGTCCAATCCTATTTGCTCCCTTCCTGAAGCATTCTATGGTCACTCTCTTTCCAAAACTCCAATTTTGCCTCAAGCCAGAACTTGCATACAAACCCTTTGTTCTGCAATTTTCTCACAGAAGCTCAAAGTGAAAGGATACCTCGGAGGTCATCTGATCCAGCCTATGACTGAATAGGAACCCCCTCCACCTGACAAGCGGATTTCCAGCCTATGCTCAAAGATCTCACCGGAGACAATCCAAGGGGAAACTTGGCCTTCTCAGCCATCCCATAAATTCCTTAATGGGCACAGTGCTAGGCCCTTTATAGAATGATTTCATTTGAATGAGCAACTCAGGATAGCTTAATGAGGATGAACTTAAGGGGGCCTGTGGGCTTCCTGAAGACACCTGGTTTAATAGATACCCAGCCCCCTACAGAGCCCAGTGGGGTGTGTTGGTGGGAATGCTAGAGAGAAGAAAGGACAGGGGCAATTCTCTAGCCCTGATTTATTAGGTCTGGACCCCAGCAGAGATGGAAAATATGTTCTTAAAGTTAGGAGTCATTGACTCTGGCTTTGCTATACATTGTAACTTTCAATCTTTGTAGTGTTTTGCAAAGAGCTGGGGAGTATTCCCTTCTCTCTCTCCCCCTTCCATCAGATAGGCCATCAACTCATACTTTCTTCAAGTCAGATAGAGTCACACCAGGCTTGTAGCCAAAAAGGGTAGCTGGAGATTAGAGCAACTGAGAGAAAAATCGCAGTTTTGTTCCTTCCTCCAGTCCTAGAACAATTCCAGGAAACCATTTACCCTCCCTATTCCTTAGGTTATCCTCATCTGCAAAATGACGGCGAATAGTTAGGATTGCAAGCATTAAGTATTACCTGCTGTAATCCATAACACAGGAAGCCATCAACAATCCCATAGACACTTCTGCTCACAAGCCTAGTGCTTATCTACCGCTACCTCTTCTAGGCAGGATGAAGTCAGAGAATTGGGACAATTATCCAAATAGCCAGATAATTCCTATGACTTAGGAAATTGCTTCCATTCACCAAAAATTCATCCAAGTCTCAAGATGGCTATAACTACAGTAGTCATATTTTCTAACCATGGCAGAGAGAGCTTAGCTAAATATGCAGCCAAAAACTCTTAAGAAACCTTGTCAAAATTCCCTATGCTTTCAGACAAATTCAACCCCAAGGCTCTCTACAGTCTCTCTAGTAGCAGCAATACCTTTCTCCAGAACCATGCCTGACACCCAGCAAGTTTTTAATCATTGCTTGTTGACTTGACTTATCCCAGGCAGAAACTGCATTTAATTAAATTCAATAGAGTGCCGAGTTTGGAGTTCAAATTTGACCTGAGATACAAGCTGGCTGAGCCAGAGCAAGTCACTTCCCCTCTGTTTGCCACAGTTTCCTCATCTGTAAAATGGGGATAATAATAGCATCTACCT